TAGTTCTAACACTATACCCATTGGAGTATGTATAAGTTCACTGAATGCAGTAGATATTTACGTGTGTGTGTGTGTGTGGGAGAGTATGGCTAGAATATATAATGGTAATGATCATTAACCAGTAATTTTCCAACTCTTTAATCTCCAATGCACTGTCAAATTTATAATTCAATTCAGTTATTCAGTGCATCAGTTCTGGTTCAGAAAATTATGACCTTTACAAGCATTCCCTCTTCAGTTGCTTTACTAAAAGCCATGCATATGAGGATACAGCATTCATGCATTAGGAGGAATTGTGATGTGTATTTTTCAGATAAGTTGTTCTTTGATTTTATTTCCATCAATCTTGTGCCTGAACTGTTGCCTCAATATATACAAATACCTTTCTTCTCTAGCTGATCCACCACTGAACAGGATGCTACACCACAACTGACAAAGAGTTTTATGATAGGCACAGATAACTTACTCTTGGCTTGTGTATCAGAATGGATACTGGGGAGGAGGGCGGGGGGAAAGAGGGAAGAGACTATTTTCTGCAGTCTTCATAAAGGATTTATTGATTCTGTTGAGCCTCCAGAAGACTTCTCTGTAACTAAGATTCAACAAAACAGCTCTTAAAGTGTGCTTTTATTGTCTCATTTCCAAGTGATATTTTTGAAGGGACTTTTAATGCCATTGTATAAGCCATATAGGAGATTCCAATCTCATAGGTGTAATTTCTGAATTACACACACACAAGACAACAAAATCAGACAACGTATGGATATTAATGTCTAGCAGAATTAGAAACAAGTTTTCAGGTAATTTCAGAGTTAAATGCTGACAACTGCATCTTTTGCTGCTGGCCCCATCCCAAGCATTTATTTTTTATGGAAATTCCATCATCCTAGAAGACTATACTACCAGTTAAGCTGGTAAGATCCATATGGCTCATTTGACAGATCTCTCGGTCAAGGGGCATCAAAGTCATGGGTTCATAGACCCACAGAAAGGCCTAGCAGTGTAGTACAAGTGCTGCACTGTTAAAGGTGGTGTCATTTCAATGTGACCTACTGCGATCTTTTCTGGTGTTTATCCAGGTGGAAGACGGCGCCCAAGGCACTTTTGAAAAAGTAGAGGTTAACCGTGGTCTTTGGCTATTTCAGAGTCCATAATGGATGCTGGGTTTGGCTACACAGCTGGTTTTATCAGTATTTAACCCATTGAATTATTACTACCTGTTTTGGCACATGTTAAATGTAAAACGGACTAATTAAAACCAACTTCTACTACGTTACGTTTTGGGGCTCTCTTTGTTTTCTGTTGGTGAGCTTTATCACTTTAGAAATATTACTTTATTATGACCTCTCTTGTCCCACTCAGGTAAAGTGTTCATATGTTTGTGACCTCTGGACTAGACTATTACAATAACTTGTTCTGTGGTCTCTCGCTGGTGTTACAATACAAAATGCAGATGCTATAGACATGTATGGCAACAGCCATAGCTCATATTCATGCTAAACCACACTTGTCCAAAATTTTTCTTCAGTCTTGAAGGCTTTATGCTTGTGTCCTATAAAATGCAATACAAAATATAAAACCATTCTGTTTAACCCTTGAAGCATTTCTGTAACTCAGTCCAACATGTTTAAATATGCCATTAGCTCCTTAAGTGCTGTCACATTGCAGACTACTGTCAATGTGGAGCTCCTGGTTACTACAGATACATATCATATGGGTTGAGAAATTTCCATAAAATGGTTATTCCTTGCAGCTTAGAAATTCTTTCCCTTCTTAAATTGGTGGTGGTGGTAGTAGTAGTGGGGTCTCCTGCAATTTTTAAATTAAATTATATTCAATCAATGCATATTTTTAATATCTTAAAAACCAATATCAAATGAATAGGGTTTAAATTGTTTTGAATCAGTTCCGCAAGCGATGAGAAATTAAATCGAAGAAACAGTTAACAGAAACCCATTCATCAATGTTTTTTCACAAGAGTCAGAAAAATGACCTAATATATAAATGCAAATTAGTTTTTTAAATAATGAAATGTTTACTTTTCGGAAGCCAAATATATCAGTCTTTTAGCTTAGTCAGTATCGATAATTTATGCACAGAAAATGTTTGACTTCAAGCTGTATACACTGAGGAATAGCATTTTATTTGCATTTTGATCAATAGCTAAATATCATTTTTATAACAGAGCTCTGTAATGTAAGGATAACACATTTTCCACCTCAACCTGTTATAAGACAAACCTTGATACAGTAAGTAAATATTTCTTTGTTAAAAAAGAGGAAACATGAAGGTACATCATCATAAACTCTTCACACTTGTAGTTTACAAAGTTTGGGATTTTGGTTACTACACTGTCAGATGATTTTTGGTGTGCAAAAGTAACAAATTCCTTCTTGCTAGCAGCAGTGATATATTTTCATGGCAACTTCAATACTTATCCCTTTATAAGTAGTTCTGCATTAAAAACATTTACCTTATTTGGTGACTTATTAATACATTATACAGCAAAATGCACAACATTTTACAACATAATATACAACAATCAGAAAAAATACAACAAACATGCTTTAGGTAAACAAACAGGAAACCCATTTTTCCTGTAGAATCCAGCCTTTCCTGTTTAACTTCAGGCGCCACAGTGGAATGCACTAAAAAATGTCAGTAGAATAAATGTGTACGATCCTCTGCCTTTTATCTAGAGGTAATGCTCAGTATTAGAGGAACTGTGTCACTCTCTGATGGTCTCCTTTTCTATTTGAGATTGAGTCTATTAATGTTCTATCATGTTAAATCTTGTTGATTGCCAATGGTTTTGTAAGTACTACTGCAAGGCAGTTTGACTTTCACTTTAACTGTATTAATCACTTAAGTGTCAGCCAGTGTTCACACACTGAGGTATACCTTTTAAAAGAACAGCTATTTAAATACATAGAGCAATATGACTTATCATGTACTTCCAAAGGGCCACACGAATGTTACTTCAATGGATGTACAATATGAGCCCAATTCAAGCCTGGTGTATCTTTGATTAAATTAATAGAGCTACCCCAGGGATCAATTTGCCCCCAAACGTTTCAGTGTACAGAGAATATCAGAGGGTAGCATCTGAAGAAGTGAGGTTTTTTACCCACGAAAGCTTATGCCCAAATCTTTAAGGTGCCACCAGACTCCTTGTTGTTTTAGTGTACAGAGAGTACATTTAAAACATCAGTGGGTGAGATTAGTTTTAATGGGAATAGGGCATCCAAACCCCATGGGCAGCTTTGCAAATCTCAGCCAGGGTCTGCAACCTACATTTAGTAGGTTTTAATACTCGAATCCTCAGAAATGTCTGAAGTCTGAAGTAGACTTCAATAACCTATCTAATTAAATACTCTGTTTGACATTCAATGGCTATTTTATGCTATGAAATACTTTAGCTAAAAGGGTTTCTGGGCTGATGGCAAAAAATGGGATTTTTCTAACCAGTGAAAACATCTTTCCTAAATAAATATTCTGCAAAGTATAGACACAAACAGGGTAACAGTTGATAGATGGTCAGCTCCTTTCCCCACTCTCTGAGATCTTAGTTAAGTACAGCCAACTTTCTTGAGACACTACACATTTTCTCTAAATTTTGAGCTCTACTTCATGCCTGAAAGAGTGTTTTCACCAAGAAGATTTAAAAATATAGAAACAATCCATGAAAATCTCTTGAAAGGAAATTCTGGAAAGATTTACCTACATGAGGTCACATAGACCTCATCAACAAACTGGAATCAAGTCCACCAATGTTCTTATGTTCTTTCCCCCCCAATCAATAAAAATACCAAACCAATAACTGAATAACAGATAGTTGAAACCAAAGCCAATGAAAAATGTGTGTGCGCATGTGCCAGAACATTACATTATATATAGTATGAGTGCATTAAGAAAGTAAGTGCCTGATTTATTATAATTTTGCATGTATTGTTCACATATGAAACCTTATTTTTACAAAAGATGCAAATGTTTAAGGAATGTTAGACACACTAGAATCCATACTTTGATATATTGTAATGCAACACTGCACCCCACTCAATTGGCTTCACAGTGCAGTTTATGCCTACAGGCACATAAATAATGTCAATTGCAAAACTAGAAGCAGTTTCTTTCATACTTTATTTTACAATTTCTCACTAAATATTTACAGGACATGGATTTTGCTTCAGTGCAATACATAGTAATGTTGCATAAGTACAAACTGTTGAACTTTTCTAAAACAAAAGAAATAAAGCACTTAACTGATATTACAGCTAAGTATGTAAAGCAACATTTATAACTTTCAGAGTGAAAATGCTAACAGCATCATTACTTTTCATAAATGATTTCTAGAAACAAACCACAAACCAGCCTTACATCTTCTGAACTATTAACTCTTATACAGTACTGTATCATTTTAAAAATATGAAATTCTTGTAAAGCATGTATACTCTACTGTATGGCAGTCTTTTTCTACAGATATCAACTTACCTTTTTATACAAATATGATGTTGCCTTGGCAGTTTTGATGAACAAAGTTATCTCAAGATATCTAACATCAGTAACAAACTCTGATAAGCGAAGCTTCTTGAGAACTTGCGTTAACAGTATTTCTTCACAGTGATATTTATGAAAGGTTGGAAAAAGGTTAGCATAAAATATTTCCACCCTTTTTCAGTTTGTATGCAAAAATCATTACTTTATATCAGTAATTATAAAATTACAAACACTTTCTAGAAGTAACTGCATCTGTAGTTATGATAGAAAAGTTATTGGTAAGATACCTAAAATGAGGTTAGCATAAAATGATTATGAAATTAGATAAAATTCTTTATAATAAGGGAAGTAACTCAATTCAGACATGTAGAAGCAACTCACAGTAATTTAACAGAGACAACTAATTAATCAACTCAAAAGAATAATCTTTCATTAATAAATATTTAATGTGAAGGAGTTGCAATGAGATGAACTCAACTTTTTAAAATATACCATTCATAATTGACTCTTAATCTTGGTTTTGGCACTTCATTGTAACAATTACTTTTCCAAAGACCAAAATATGTATAAAAGGTGTACAGCGCCTCAACATACCTTGCAAATATAGTACTTAAGTACTGGCAAACACTGAAACAGAGTTAATTAAACATTCCCACTGATTTGCACATGCATGCACTATTCAGACAACAACATTGTATCTATGTTCTTGACAGTGTCACCCTTGCATTATTTGTGATTCAGACAGTTTCTTCAACAGATCTTGTTTCTGATTTAAGTCTCACAAATTCTTTAGCAACTTCATCATTGGTCCTCTGAGAAAGTATTCTAAGAATTGTCAACCCAGTGTCATCCATAAAGATATTTTTCAGCAGAGGATACCAGGATGCGCAGCTACCTTTCTCTGCAGTATTCTGTAGCTGGATAACTGTCATTCCTACAATGCGATCTTCCCTGGCAAAGCAGTAATCTTTCACAGAGAGGTGAAGCTCATAGGCTCTCAGCCCTTCTTCATTACTCAGAATGCTGTGTGGTTTAAAAGAATGGATTTTGAAAATGGACGTTAGTTTAATTCCCCCAAGGGGTTAACATGGCTTAGAAACCTTTTTAAAAAAAATAATATGCATTTCAGAGATAGTTCTACATCTGCGAACAAAATATTATTGATTTATAAACTGTACATGTATTGATCCTGGAAGGTGTTGAGAAAGCACCCTCAGTTTCCATAATCAGACCCTCTGTTCCCTTTCTCCAGAAATATTTCAGATGATCAACATTTTAATCACAGCTGTTTAAGCATTGATAGACCAATTATGTTTTTTTTTTACCCCAAACAGAAATGTTTAAAATGATGTAAAACTACAATTCAGAGGAATTCAGAACAGTATCTCACGTCTTTAAAGCACAAATAACTTTTATTTAGGCTCTTCTCTCCCTCCCCCCCCACCCCCCGTCCAGCTAAAAACGTTTTTGGATTTCTAGTAAATCTTTGATCCATTTTTCCCTACTCTATTAATTTTGAATTTAATGTTGGGGCAAATGGTTTTCATATGGCAATTATAGGGGAGGCTCTGCACTCCAAGGTATCTGTTTTCTAAATGTTACTTATAGAGTAATGTGATCATATCCTCTGTGTATTCAGTATAAAATTGTGTATCAGTATTTGGTATTGAGCTTCTACCCTGATTGCAAATTATATATATATGATTCAATGTATGGGTGCCAGCTGTTTTCCAGTGGTAAAGAATTGACTAGCAATATTTATCAGTTACATCCAAAAAACATGCAAGCCTGATGATGATCTACCTAGGACACCTGTTCAACACAACATAAACACCTGTGATGACCTTTTTCAATCAGAAAATGAAAAATGTTCCTTTAGTCTGCGTCACGTATTCATTTAAAAAACAAAATAATACCCACAATTTACTATTCTTGTTATATTACATAATAGCACAATGTTTCCTTTCTAGGACTCAAGTTCTGGTCCCTTCCCTTCCACCCCAATAAATGGGTGATGGACAGAGCAGTGGGAATCAGTGAGATTGGAATGCGTCACAAGCCATGGAGCAGTTTTGGAGCCATTAGATGTTCCCTCACTATGCCCTTAAACCTTCCTGTGTACTAGGATCAGGGAGAGTCCATAATGTTCTATCGTGACCAGTGGATCTATCCTCTGTGTAGCTCTCTGCGTTCTGGTCCCCGCCCTGAACATAGGAACTGCCTTGGCTTTGCTTCAAGGCCTTCCATGTCCCCCTATCTGACTGAAGGATTTTGTCTTACAATACTTTTTTGCTATACTTTTACTCCCAACTCTGTGAGGTACAGCCTCTGAATAGAACAGCTTTCTAACAAAAAATGTTTAGCTTCCAAGAACAGCATTATACCCTCAGAACACATAGTTACTGTACTAACTAACCACCTTTTTATTTTAATGGTTGGTATTATAATGGCTTTCATTTTTATTTTAACTACTGTAGATCTAAGCTGAGATGAATGCTGCATGGAAACCATTGGCAGAGATGGATTATAGCTTAGATATTACAGGCAGTGTGCCTAGGGCCAGAGTGTCCAGTATTTATGTCAGAATCTCAGATTTCATTTAAAATAGTGAGTTTCTAGTTCTTGTGGCCACAAAGAAAAGTATGAGAATGTGACCGGAGTGTGACAATACCGTGAAGTCTGCAGACAGTCTGAAACAATAGCTCTGAAAGGGATGAACTGTGTCCCATGTCTCTCTAGGGAGGGCTAGGACTACGACCTACAGCCTGGGAGTCTTGCCAAAACAACCTCAGCAGAAGAGTTTTTGTGTGTGGCTGACACCTCCCACCTTAACAGATCCACCGTAGCTGCTGGGTTGAGTACTGGGAGCTCCTTCCTAGCATTCATGCCTCTCAGAGGAGAATGAGTCTAGAGAGGCACCTCAGCACTGGCACTCCGAATAGGTGTGGGCCCATATTGGTGAGTGGGGCTATGGGGGAGGGCTCTGAATTGCCTTTATCCAGCCCTGATGGTTGTGTTAGGTTTCCACAAGTGTGACAAACCCAGGCTTGGGGGATCAGTTGGCCAATGTTGGCTTGGGACGAACCAGAAAACTCTCACTAAACCCTCGCAAAACAAGCTGGTTTTGTAATCATTGGTCCCACTTCCCCAAACCCAAAACAGGCATTTTCCCTATTAGCACGGTGTGCGCTTGGGGACATCTGTCAAAAAAAAAAAAAAAAAAAAGAGAGAGAAGGGGCTGTGTGGGACAGAAAGGCTTTTGAAGCAGCAAAATGACCAGAAAATGTTTCCTTACCAATTGCTGCTGAATTTGTGTGTGGACAGGCATCCTGCTCTCCTGAAAATATGTCTCATAGACACATGCTAGGGCTGTGGGCCTATTGACTGGTCCCTCAAAGAAACAGGAGGGGTGGGATGGACTAGCTCCCATCTCTGAAAGAAGGGGAGAGGCCACTGATTGTACCACTATAGACAGTAGGAGAGCATGTCACTAGGCCTCACATAGATGTCAACATAAAGAAAGAAGGGATCCTAGGGTCTGTTGCTGAAGGAGTGAGGGAGCCCCCTGCTTGCTGAGAGGATTCCTAGACCAGCCTGGGTCTGATCAAAGTCTTCTATGAGTTTCAACTTTGCATTGAAACCCAGTGTCAGTTAAGCCTGGTTTCAGGTCTCAATCTGAAAGGTTCGCAGCAGCCCTAAGATTATGTACTGTCTGATCATAATTTCCAGTCAAGTGGCTGTATATTTTGTTTCCACTGTGTAAAAAACAAAACCGGGGGAGGGGGGCAGAGGGATTTAGCTTGGGAAAGTAATGGCTAAAATGTGATCTACTGCTGTCATCATGATGCTAATTTTTATGCAGCTTTTTTTTTCTGCAGCCTCGATTTGGTTGTCAGGCTTCCATTCTGATTTAGCTACTGTGACTGCAGTAGGTACCTTCCCCAGATAATGAAAGAGAAATTGGTAGGTTTGTAATTCTCACTATAAATTTATAATAACAATGCATCTCTAGCACCTTTCATCTAAGGAACTCAAGGCATTTTACAAGCACTCATTAAGTTCCACAAAAGGCCCTTCAGAGTGTTAAGGGTGAAATTCATGCCAATGTAGGGGTCCAAACAAAGCCCTATGCACAACTTAAGAGCTGCATTAAATGGTGTGCAGCACCTGCAATGGGGTTAATTTCACTCCAAGTGCTGGTGGCTAGTTGCAGTTAAATATAAATGTACTTACGTTATGGTTGGGCCAAACCAACTGGAGAAACCTGCCAGTTATGACATTGCACTGGCAAGAACAATACTATGCATTGCTACTGTTCCTATAATACTGTCTTGGATGCTTTTACTGCAGGAAAGCATATCATTAGTATTCACCGTGCAGCACACAGTAATCCCCTTGTAGGATAGACAGAGCAGTAAGGCTCCAGGACTGTATATATGTGGAGCTTTGTTTCATGAAACTCATTGCATATTTTGAGTTATAGCTGCAAGATTTCACTCATTCTGAGGCACATAAAACAAGTACACAGGGCAGGTTATCACTAGAGGAAGATTTACATGATTTTCCTTTGATTTAAAAATGAAACAGCGTGCCAGGCAGTCTAGAATCCTCTTGCCTCTAATGATATGCTGCTATGCTGTAATCCAAATAGAACATAGTTTAGGCTTTAATCACTCAAAAAACCTGTATTATTCTAACAGTCTAGCATTAAAAAAGATTTAGAAAGAAGGCATAGCTTGAAAATGTCTTTCAGCCCCATAAAAAAAAAAATCCAGCTACCCACCTCTGGAAGAAGTTATTTGGTAAATAAATTTGTGGCATGAAACAGATTGGGGATACTTCTTAACATTGATTTCTGCTTTGCCATTATTTTATTATGAATGGTAGCAGCAGAGATATTAACTACAGGTTGAGCTATTCCATGTTGAAGTCAATGAAAAGGCTCAGTTGGACTTCAGAGGGCATTGGATCAGGCCTATGTTAGACTGGTGAATAGTTCAAAGGTTTTGCATGAATAGATTTTTACTACCAAAAAATTATTGTAGATCCTTTCAATTTCTTTCATGCTTAAAGTTAACCTGCTGATTGCTACTGGATGTTGGAGACAGAGATGTGGAAAACGTAGGCCCTTGTACTGCTCAATATCCTCTACCTGACAGATCCATTTGTTATACTGCTGTTATTAAAGCAAAAGGCTTGTGAAGCCTGCGATTAAAAAGTAGCCTAAACTCACGTTTTCTAATGTTACTGCCAGTGCTCCCTTTAGTAGTGATGATTTCCTCTTACTTATTATGTAACTAATCTTACAAAGTAAAGACAGATCCAATGAAGACAGGTACTTGAGGATGGATGGGTGTCTACCAATTTGGAGATTAAGCTATTTATAAAGAATGAAAAACACTAAATATATTGACTATTTTGATGCTTATCCAGTCTGGTGCTAATTGCAGTTAGTTGTTCCCATCTTACCCAGCTTTAGATCCTTAAGATTGTCCTACTGCATTACGTGATTCTCAGCGTCTATCTTTGTTTCAACTACTGTGCTTTTAAAAATCAAATTTTAGGAAGATAATTGTGGCAATTGCCATTAAACATGTTTCAGTCTTCTAAAGGGATGCCTGTACTTCATGTGTCCCCATAACCCTGGAGTTGTAGGAAAAGGGAACATTTGTTCTGAATACATTTCTCTTGTAAACAGACCGCTGCTTTTGTTCACATTTGTCTCTGTGCAAACACATCAAATAAATGAGAAGAATAATTTGTCACAAAGGGACACATTACACATCCCTCTTTCTAAAATGTGGCTTAACACGTGAGGACACTTGCCAGTTCTAAGATGTTAACCACCATCAGATTGCTAGGCTATTAAGGGCTGCCTAAGGGGGTTACAGTGGTAGGAGCAGGGAAGGTTGCTGCCCTTGGAGTTGGGATCAAGTAGGGATTCTTGCTAACAGAGTGAATTCTGACTGGCTTTCCTCAGCCTGCCCTCCTAGCTGCTATTTATAAAATGGCCTTTGAGGCCAGGAACCAACACTGATGAGGCAGTCAGGGCACAGGTATAGTGCCAGACTGCACCAGAACAGCATTCCAGCACTTATACACCACATGTTGGAGGTCATGTCGCATAGAGCATGCCATTTTGTACAGCAAAATGGTGTCCTCACAGTGTGACCTTGCACATCTGTATGAGGTCACACCAATGGGAGCACTCCAGTAGTGTACAGCCCATTGAGGACTATGCCACTGAGTTGGGGCAGAGGGAATCACTGGCATAGAGCCTCAAGCAGCTTCATGGTCAAATGTAGGGCTGATGGTCAGGAGAAGCCAAGAAAGTGAAACTCCCAGCGCGTGGAGGCAGAGTGTGGTCTTTTAGTGCTTGGGAAATGGGCAGGCTCTAAGAGAGGTCTTAATCTAGAAAAAGGAAGATGATGTAGAGAGCAGGTAAAAGGAATTTGGTGTGGGGAATTGCCAAATTTAGATCCCTAAATCAAATATAAAGGTTCTTTGGCTTCTGAGGATTAAGTAAAAGTGGTTATTAATAGCAATTGGTTATCATTTTACATCTTCAGACCTTTACAAACGTTTAAGGCCCAGATTTGTAGAAATGCATGTACAACTGGCATTAGCAATCGAGGTAACTGCACATGCAAATGACCAATTAGGTATCTAACTTCTCATCTGTGTGTGCAAATGAATGTGCATTTCTAACTAATAATCCGTACAATTCCCAGAATGTCCTTAATTCCAAGTCCACGTGTTTTCCATGTTTCAGAAACTGGAACTTCAAAAAGGAGTGCTACAGGCCCAAAACACAAAGATCAAAATTAATCCCTGGGTAAGACAAGGCTATAACCCAGACTTTCGAACACGCTATATACTGAAAGAACCTTAGTTTTGAAATCGTGTCTATACTTATGGTCTGTGAAATATGCAGTCTTGGACTGTAGCATTTTCAGTTCTCACAGCTTTAGCTGCAAAATTAATTGTAACAATTTATATAAAATGGACAGCTAAAAGAAAAAAAGACTTACAACTGGAATGTTTCATTGTATTTTGGTGACCAGGTGTTGCTCTTTGTCTTGGTTCCATGTTTTCTCTTCTTGTCACTTAGGTTAGGACCCAATATACAGACTTCCACAAATGGCCGGAACATAGCTGTTGTTTGCCAGTTTAGGTTATTAATTGCTACAACTAAAGATAATAATATGAATTAGATATGCATTTAGAATCCCAATGCAAAATATTAGTAAATATTCTTGCTTAAATACGTAGTAAGGCTTAGTGTAGCCAATGAGAGGTCACAGAAGGATGACCTGAGATCTTCCTGGTAGATAACCTACACTCTACAAACCAGCAATAGCTTTGTCTGCTCCCCACTGAATTAGGAGTATGAATAATATCAGTTACAATTCCAGCAATCTGCAATTTCACAAATAATTTACATTCTCACCTGGTTTGGTCTGCCAAATTCACTGTAGCTTAAAAAAAATCAGCAGATATGAATCTAAACATAACTGGTTTTCTGTGGACTTTAGCTTCACCAATACAATGTTGGACAGTATTTATTACAAGTTGGATATTCTAAGTCTTGGTGCAATTATTCAATATCTAACTCTGCTGCAGCATTTTAAAAACTAAATTACATGCCTGAAGTATAAGAGGTGTTATCTGGAACATCACAACTTATGTGTTGGTTGGGTGGAACTGTAATGAATTTCAACTGTGTAGCATGCTAGCAAATACACACTGAAGCCATGCTGCATACTGACCTCTGCAGACACAACTCCCAATGTCATCAATAGGGGCAGAGTATGACCCTGAGAACTTGAAATCCAGACACAGCCTTTGCTATTATTTTTGTTGGGAAGGAAGTACCTTAATACCTAAGATTTGCTGTTTTGTGATTAGAACTTTTTACTTCAGGTTTCCTTTCTAGATTCTAAGACCGGAAGAGCTCACTATGATGATCTAGTCTGACCTCCAGCATAACACAGGCCATAGAGCTTTCTCTAAATGATTCCTGTTTGAACTAGAGTATGTCCTTAAGAAAAACATCCAATCTTGATTTTAAAATTGTCAGTGATGGAGAATCCACCACAACCCTTGGTAAATTGTCCCAGTGGTTAATTACCCTCACTGTTAAAAAATGTACAGCATACTTCCATTTTGAATTTGTCTATCTTCAACTTCCAGCCATTGGATCTCGTTAGACTTTCGTTCCCATTATCAAATATTTGTTCCCCATGTAGGTACTTATAAACTGTGATCAAGTCAATTCTTAACCTTCTCTTTGTTAAGCTAAATAAATCGAGCTCCTTGAATCTGATCACCATAAGGCATGTTTTCCAATCTTTTAATCATTTTCATGACTCTTCTCTGAACCCTCTCCAATTTATTGACATCCTTCTTGAACTGTGGACAAAAGACCGGGAAACAGTATTCCAGTAGCGGTTGCATCAGTGCCAAATACAGAGGTAAAATAACCTCCCTACTACTTGAGAGTCCCTATTTGAAACTTACCTTTTACAGTGACTCTATGTTCTCCAGTTCCAGGATGTGTAAAGACATCCACCTGTACAGAGATCTCACCTACTGCATTATTGGTCGAATGACCTGCAGAAGTAAACAGGAGTTTAATACTGCTGACTCCTCAACAGCTCAGGGGAAAATAGACAGTACCAGTATGTTACAACAAGACGCAGGTGAACAAATAACTTTATATTAATGTAAGGTGAATAGTATGTTTTCTCATTTCCCCCCATATTTTCTTTTCTTAACCATCTGGAATATATTCAATGTCTGGATAAGGTGAGGTGATAGCTTTATAAGTGACTTTACAACTGTTGCACATTGTGACCACAAACATCTGCTTCCTGTGTGCATTCTCAGTAGGACTGGGAGAACCTGTCATTAGGAACCTTAAATTCAGCCTGTGATTCAAAAAGTTGGTGCCAACATGAAATTTGGTTGTTTTGCTGAGTTCTGTATGTATGCGCACATCCAGGTTTTCTTGCATATATATATTTGCAAAATTGCTCCTGTATTATTTAAGGAGTGCCAGAAAAGTGCATCTTCATATGAAGTCAAATAAAGACAAATGTCTTTGTCTGTGGGCTGGACTGTAACAGTACAATCTGCATAGGAAGGTGCATTGTACAGTTGCACTGTCCCAGGATTACACAAGGGAATGAATTATGATTTAGGTAGTCACAATGTGATCCTTAGTTAACCTGAGGCAACCATTTAGTACACACAGATTTGGTGGGGTTAAGGGTGCAGAGTCAAGACTCCATCCACTCCTTACTTGACTACCCCAGCCCTGTCCAACCATTCCCCTTCCACTTGCGTGTGCAGGGAAGCAACGGGACCCCAGAAAAGCTGCTCTCCCATTGCCTGCGAGCCACAAACACAGGTAACCCATGCAGGGTTTAAGGGGATGCCTTACACTCCTGCTCAGGAGCATTGGGCAAGTGACAATCTTGCCCTAAATTAAAGATCCCAACCAATGTGTTTGCCCTGTTTTTCCTTTCCCATACCCTAAAATGCTTTTCTAGACTTCATCATCTCAGTGGCTTCCTTGAAATGTGATTCTACAGTGATGCTTATTGGTCAGGTTGGAATAATCCATAGTTACATTCTCTTCACTGGCTCAGCATTGCAAGGACAATTAAATACCCTTATCCCATGGGTTACTGCATCAAAGAACAAGCTTCGTTTCTGACCTATTAAGATGTGGGAACTCACCACTCAATTTACTTGATCGGAAACCTTGAGAACAGAACACTTTATTTGCCAGCTGCTAAGTGAGTTGGGCCACAATGCTGTCAAGAGTTCACTTGTTAAAAATCATAATCAGAAACCACAGATTTTAATTAAAACAGTATTTATTGTTTTTTTTAATGTCTTAAGCAGTAGAGACATAGCTGCCACTTCTGAATCTCAGGGTGCTCATACAAATGTTGCTTCTAGATATAGTCCAATATCAACCAGATGGTGTAGACCATTTATGACATGTGTAAATAGGCAATTTGTTACACAGCGGGTTTTAGTGACAAGAAGTTTAGCTTCAGTGGCAGCCATTAGACTTCGCAGTGCAGTTTGATAATTCCACAGAGAAATCTTTACTATCTTAAGTCCCTAATTAAACTACTGACTCATCCAGTTCACAATAAATGAAAAGTAAATAATGCAAGTTACTTCATCTTTCATCAATTAGTATTAATAAACATGTTAAAGTAGTAATAAAATAGTTCAAGAACAAGTGAATATCTAAACTCAAAAAACTGACTAACCAGTTTCAACAGCTTCCACCACTACTGAGTTTCTCTGACTTTCCTATAAAACTAGCCTTTAGCAATAAGAAAGGAAACTGTTATATGCTAGAAGTGATGTATTTCAATCTGATTTTTCCTTCTGAGGGAAACAAAGTGTTCTCTAACCCATTCATCATTGTCCAGCCTTTATTTGTTAGCAATGACACTCAATTTCCGCTTCCTGGAATAACAATTTTTAGCTGAACACAAAATTGTATGTAAAATATTCTGTCAAGAAAAATAATGCATTTAAAACACAGTTGTCACGACCACTACTCTTGCAGGACCAGATTCTGCCTGTTTACCTGTTTTGAGTAGTGCATGTGTATTCCTTTTGATTTCAGTGGGGCTACTTAAAGACCTTGTCTTAATTATGAAAAAAGGTGTGTCCTTAACTCAAGTGTGCTTAGGCTTTAACTTGACCTGCTAACTTGTATGGAAACTAAAAACTGCCGTATCTTCACTAGGATTTTACCTCAAGTAAGCTAACTTGTTAGCTAACTTGAGTTAAGAACATACCTATTTTTCTGTAGTGAAGACAAGGGTACAGAGTAAAGAACTATTCAAAAGGTAGAATCTGGTTAAGCATTACTATCGTCTAGTTAGTGAAGTTCTTCAGGTCAGAAGAGCTCCGTGAAGCTCAAAAGCTTGTCTCTTCCACCAACAGAAGTAGGTCCAATTTCCAATTAAAGACATTACCGTACCCACCCGTGGCTCTCACATTTGCAGAAATCAGGAATGTTTGGTGAACAAGTCTCAAAAAAAAAAAAAAAAGTTGGGGGGGGAGGCTACGTTAGCAACAGATATTATTTGCAACGAAACACTTGAAGTCTCTGCTAGACCTGATCAAGGTTTTTGCCTCATATAAGAGACAATGCTTGTGACCCTAGATCAAATTGGGACAAAGTCTGCTCTCAGTTACGGCAGTGAAACCCCGCACTAGCTCCATTGAATTTAACTCCAGTGAAGTTCTTCATAATTACTTCAGCTAACCTGAGAGCAAAATGTAGCTTACAGTTTCTTACAGCTGTCAACCTACGCAACGTATTCCTATCATGAACTAGAGTACTTTTTCCTACAGAGTTTTATTTGCCCCATTTGTGGCCATTAATATAGAGAAGCCCTTTAAAGGGTACTGCAAGTTTTGTGTATGCCTAGCACATTATCTATAATACGGTGTGCTGTAGGCATAAGAGAAATCTCATACTATATTTAAAAACATCAAATAATGAAGAGTTTTAAACCAAAAACCACTGCAGTTAGCACAGCCGCTTTAAGCACAACAAACAGGAGAGTCCTTGCTACAATTCATTTTAGACAGCATAAGCTGACTTAATACAAAATGTTGAAATGAAAGTATTTATTTATTTTTCCAGTCTCCAGCCCTCTTTCTCATTGAACTGCTGAACAAGTTGGATAGAGATCTTTAGAACATTTAGCATTTGCAAATGTCAACTATCGTAGCACTCCAAGAAATATCACAGTTCACGCTAAAGTCTCTGATCTGTGTGTGTGTGTTTCCTTTCTTACTGCCAGACTCTGAGAGGTCACAATTCAGGAACAGCCTCCACAGTACGACACTCTTAGCAATTCAGATTAGTCTAGAGGAAGGTGCTTTTACCCTAAGCCATATAATAGATCAGTTCTCCTGACAGCAAATAGCCCTGCAGAGCATGATAGCACTTTTCCTTCTTTAACACTGCAATTCATCTCATCAAAAGCCCTATAAACATACTAATGGACTTCATATTGAAAAGCCTTATCTACCAGTGGAATCTACCCACACCCCAGAGCTCTGATTTTACATTTTATGTATTGAGATGCAATCAGAACATTAAAAAGCACCTCTGCAGTGCTGTTAAAAATGCAGTCACTCTATTGTAAAGCAAAAAAAAATTCTCCACAAAACTGGAAAGAGAGAAGGAAAAACTTATGCCCAGTCACAGATGCCAGACTGCTCCATGCACTTGTCCCTTCTCAAAAGCCTGGGAAGAGATCTGCATTTTGGTGCATGCTCTACATGTCAGCAGATATGAGGGTCACTTATGGAGAGTACCCTGCCAAGATCTTCCTCTTTATTTATTTATTTTTTTAGTAAGGAATCTCCTGCTTTAGGAGTGTCTGCTGATTAGATGTAGACTATTGCATGGGGATAGAGGAAAGGCAATCTCTGAAAGGTCCCGGGCCCATTATAGATCAAAACTATGTGTTGCATTCCACCCTGAACCCAAAAGGCAGCCAGTGGAGATCTCAAAACACTGGTGTCATTTGTTCACAATGAGAAACTCTACTTAACAAACAGGCCACCTCATTCTACTCCACTTTGAGTTTGAGTTGAATTAGAGCACACATTGCAATAATCTAATCTTGAGGGGACAGAGGCATAGACCATAGTAATTAGGCCTGCATCTGAAAGAAACAGTTGCAACCTCTTGGCTACATGCAGATTAAAAAATTGGATTTCTGGTTGTTACTGTTTTATGACCATCTAGCAATGACTTGTAGGAATGATGGCTGCACAACAGTCTTTTATAGAGGTTGGGAAGGTGACTCTCTATAAGGGAGTCTCCATCAACAATGGACCCAATTCTTCTCTGCTGACTTTCCCCAGTCAGGAAGGACATGTGTCTAAAGTGCCATGGGAAGGAGGGAAATGCAATGCAGAATTCCCAGAATCTGTAGTGCATCAGTGAATGTCACTGGCATAAACTCCACCAGAGGAGACTTAGCACATGTACCCTCCAGAAATCACTCTGCATCCATAGAAGCAGAGACTTAAGTCCAAATTTCCTTGATTTTTTTTCTGCAAAGTAGAAATTTCAATACAATGGGAGGGACCTGTACCAGCCACTGACTGGAAAGCAGCCTGATTTAACTAGATTGTCCACTACTCAAAACAATATGGCTGAGTGATTGACACTTATTCAATGCTATGAAGGAGGCAAATAAATCTTCTCTGCCTCTTGCATAGCTATGGTATAAGCTTTTCAATAATCTTTAAGATGGAATGGATCAGATTTTGAACGCTACTTCATCCACCAGCACTCTAGTCATCTTTCCTCTCCTTTCAGTTGTGACAGGTCTTTTACAAATCAAAACTCATCTTGACAAATCCAGGGGATAGGATATCTAAGGGCACTTCATTGATAGCTGAATATAAAAGCTCATTGCCAGTCCTATAAAAACCTTGATAGAGTTGGGGGAACAAGTATTCATCTTCAGAGCCTTCCAGGATGGGTTCCATTAGGCTCTGGAAGTGGACGCTCAAAACAGATGCCATATTCCAATCTCATATCATAG